CAACGCGAAGCGCTGTAAACTAAATCTCCAGTATGGTTTTTAATGCAGGAAAAATTTCTTTCTAAAAATTGAGTTTATTGTGTTCAGCACTGAACTCTGTTGTCTTATTTCGTTTTATGAACTGCGAATATAGAATCGTGACTGTATTCAGACTGAATTGCTACTTATAGAAATTTGCCGATCGCCATTGCTACCAGCATAACCATGTGCATCATCGTCTACACGTTGACAAATATCGCATTTTACGCCGGTCTGAGCAGCGACGAACTGTTGGAAAGTACAGCCGTTGCAGTGACGTTTGCCAACCGCTACTACGGCGTTTTCGCCTGGACCATGTCCATCTTCGTCGCCATGTCATGCTTTGGCGCCGTTAACGGTATTCTGTTGACGTCATCGAGGTAGATGTTAAGTGCGAAAATGAAACCGTCACTCTTTCTGTCGATCAATAGGCTGTTTTACGTTGGAGCCCGAGAGAAGCAGATGCCTGAATTCCTGTGCATGATCAGTACGTACGACACACCAATTCCAGCCGTTCTCTTTACGGTAAATCATGAACTGTCGATTCACTAATTATTGCAGTGATGCCTGAGTTATCTATTCATATGTTAGTTGTAGTATTGAAAATATAGGAGACCAGCAATTTAATAAACCAGCCCTGTTACAACAGGATAAACTTTGATTTGACGTCATATTTAACATCAGCAACTTGTTAAAGAAATCGAAACTCTGCAAATTGTAGAAGCCTCGAAATAGAAACCTTCCTCATTTTTCAGGTAATCTAAGCATGATGTGATGACTGATGTCATGAAGAACTGCACGCTTTTCTTCGGCAGATGCTATGATAAATCTATTGCATAGCATAGATTTGTATGAATTCGTGCTTCCTACTTACTAAATCAGTTAAAGAGTAGATTTCTTGATAATGGTTTGGTCCGTTGAGTTCTTGGTTCAACGAATCGACCGACGCTACTGTTTTACCTTTCTGTCAAGCATTCACATGTGTTTATCTCTATAAAGCTTTCCTTACTATTCTAAAGATGTTGTGGGAGATCTGAATAATTAATCTAAATAGATATTGTTTAGATCTTTTAACAATGTCTGTTACTTCAGCTTAGGCATAGAATACTGATGTTTATCACTTATCGTCTTTTTCATTGTAAGGGACTTGAGTAAGTCAGCATTGAATACTAGCGTATATAATTTGGTTTGGTGTATCCCCTGTCTGAAGAAGGCTGAGTTTGCATGTGGAATACTAATGGGCATGGCACAAGGATGTATCTAAGTTACTAAATTGTGCATTACCTTCGCACTTGGCTGACGTTTTGGTCACTCTGCCACCGGAGCGTGACCTCAGTCACAGTTCTTCCTGCGTTCCTATATATATTATTCTTCTAAGCAGCGGAGAAGTGCAATAGAGGTCTTTCCTTGCAGTCGCTGGTACGATTAAACGTTTGCTCACAGGATTATTGCACTTACGACAGTTCCTGGCCAGTTAATATTCTTTCAACTGAACCATTAGCCATCTTTCGAGTCAGTACGCTGCTGCCGACATATTAAATGTCATTGTACACCCATTGTGGTTTTCATTTCGTGCCCCTTGTTTGAAAGCCGCAACAAGTTTAAGCGCCAGCAACTCAGTTTTTTCCATTCTGTACCTTGTGTTACCTATGAAATACCACATGGCAGTATGCAGCTGGACGTTTTGACAAAACATGCATTGCAGTGGTGCTGCTCAGCATATTCTAAACCTGAACAAGGATGGCTGTGCCAAAATTTTACAGCTCACCTGGTCATATTCAGTCCTGCAATCGATGGATGGGGATGTAGCATTGAACACGCTCATTTATTTCCTTCTCTAATTTGCATTATTTTGGCGTTAAATTTTTTTGTTTTCTTCGATTTTTTACTTTCCACAAAAACCATTTTGCTTTCTTTTAGTCAATCACTGACTTTTCACAGTTTTTGGGGAGGAACTGTAATTCGTATTTTTTTAAAGATTGTTTATGGTTTGTTTTTAGAGTTTTCTAAGCTTTCTGTTCCTCATCTTAAGCGACAATATAATGTCGCTAATTAATTGCGTTCAAATCGTTACGTGGCTGGCAATCGGTTTGGCAACTGCTGGCCTGCTTTACCTTCGACGTAAAATGCCTCCAAAGGACTTCCCCCGACCTATCCAGGTATGTTGGGTATGCATCGTATTCACAAATTAATTGCCAATTTAGGTAAACATTCTGTTTCCTATTGCGTTCCTGATAGGTTCGATCTTCTTGGTTGTTTTACCGATTGTCACCAAACCTGCGGATACCTGTATGTGCAGATTTTTCGTTCTGAATTGTTACGCTGAAAACATTTTTTCCGACTTTGCCATAACCTTTCATTGTCATAAAGTAAAGACTAAAAAGGCTCTTCATAAAATTTCTGCATAAGCAAGTCGAATATCCCACTTCGAGAGAGTAATACCATATACTTCTAATGGCTGAAAGTCTTGGCAGGATTTTTGCTGCCAGTTCTACGGGAAGAACCTGAGAAAATGAGAAACGCCATGACTTTGCCAAAGTTCAGAACCTTTCTTAAATACCAGGATTGGTAGGGAAATCCAGAAGCGTTGACTGCTGAAATGAGAAACCGAAAATATCAGAAATGCATAAAAGAGGATTTCGAACCGCATGACGCACATTCCCTAAAACTGAATGTTCAGATCGTCAGGACGAACAATGCCATCAATTGCACTGGCTATCGACAAATCTCCTCCTGCTAATCTTTGAAAATATATTTCTGGAAATACTTGTTGAAACTGAGTTTCTCTAGAAATTTTCAATGAACAAGGCTGCGTTCTGTCCTCTCTCCTGTTTGTGTTGTACATGGAGAGAATAGTCAGGTGCTGCCAAAGGGATAAGGGTATCGGTGTAGGAGATGTGAAGACGATAAGGTAGCTGTTTGCAGACGACCTTATTTTATTGGCGTCTTCTGAAACTGATCTCCAGTGCTCCTTAGAAAGGTTCGCAGCCGAGTGCGACATGACCGGCATGCGTGTGAATGCATCTAAAACGAAAAGGCTAGTGCTTTCTCGTTCTCCTGCCCATTGTTCTCTTCAGATTAATGGAGAGGCTGTGGAGCAGGTGGAGAAGTTGAAGTACCTTGGAACTGTATTTACTAGTGATGGAAAACTGGAGGAAGACATCGACCGGCGAATTGGTGTAGCCAGCGGCGTTCTGCGTGAACTAGCCTGACCCATTGTGACTAAAGCAGAGCTCGGTCTGAAAACTAAGCTCTCGGTGTTCAAGTCGATCTTTATCTCCATGCTTACCTACGGTCATGAATCGTGGACCATCACTGAAAAACTTCGAACCCGGATACAAGCTGCTGAAATGGGCTTTCTTAGACGAATCGCTGGCCTTACGCGTCTGGACATGGTCCGGAATACTGACATCCGAAAGAGCTTGGTGTACAGCATCTGCTTCCGATTGATAAGTCAAAAGGCTGCGATGGTTTGGGCATGTGTTTCGAATGCCTCCAGGAAGGAAGTCTAAGCAACCGTTTCTTGCGAAAGCGGCCGGCAGAATGCCCAAGGGACGGCCAAGATTAACCTGGTGCAAGTATATGGAAGGAGTCTGTTCCAGTCTCCATTTATCTTTTGCTTAAGCTGAGACTCTGGCACAGGATCGGGAACGTTGGAAGCTCTGTCTGAGGCGTCTGCCTCCTCGATCCGAAAAGGAAGCAGCCATGGAAGATGATGATGATGAAGACAGACAGGATTTTTGATCGGATACTCATGCATGGCACCATCGGTGTTGAAAATGAACTGAACAGTGATAGTGTTTCCCACCTTCTTCCAGTTGGAAGTTTCTCTGCTTTCGGATAGCCTTTAATTCAGTGCATCGAAGATGCAGACAACGTGAATGGTGTGATTTATCAGTACTGAAGATTGCTGTAAATGTACTTGTGAAATATAATTATTTCTCAGAAACCCTATGATTGTTATGAAGTTGTTTCACCTCTAGAAGTGGAGTATTTGAAGTGGAGTGTTCTCTTCTGTTATTTTATTTGTTACCTACGTGATACTGTAAAGCATCTTCATGAAGGAAAGTTTACAGCCGTTTAAAGAACGGTTTTCCTTACAGTTTTATGATGGGGCTACTCAGGTGCCCTCCTTTTCATGAAATTATTGGTCATGGTTTAAATTTTCTGGTGTTTGTATATAAAAATTCTGTGTATTTTTTCAGTGATCGGAATAGGCCTCATGTTGACAGGAGTACCTGTGTATTTCCTCTGCATTGCTTGGAAATCGAAGCCTGCTGCTCTCGAAAGGCTCTGCGGTATTGTCTTATAATTTCTTTCTCAGCTATAATTGCCGTTATTTCAGACGTCACTACACGAGTCATACAAAAGACCTTGTTAGTCACGAAGTTGGAATGAACGGTTTGGAAATGTCTCCGCGAAATGTGTTTTGAGTCTGCGCTTCTGTTTAAGTTTGTCATTGGGGCGCAACGGCAATCATGTGATGATTTTGGTTAAATAAATCTAACAACGATTGTGCCCGGCAGACTATTTTATGCATAAGTGTTTCTTCATAAATTAGAAGTTACTGACCTGAACGAAAAATGTCCAGCTGTATTCTTAATGGACTTTGAGTACCCCGATGGCATGCTGCTCCTCAGCGACTTCGCAGTGGGTCTCCTGAGAGTCATCCGACGGGTGTTTAAATACTCTGGAATTAGGGCTGTATATAAACGCCAAGAAGAAAAGATTATAAGGGCATTAATCTGAGAATACCATAGGATGGTATTACGTTGGATCATTTCAAGTGTGTCGGAACTGTACAGAATAGCGACGGCGATGTCTCTCATTGAGTGAATTAGTGTATCGGACTGGCATCAGTGATTAACTACTGACTGTGTGTCACGGAAGGATCGAACCATGAAAGCGGACAGGAAGATCACTATCATTAGAGTGAAGTCTAAAAACTTTGCAATACTGAAAGACCATGAAGCTCATTTAGACAGCTTCCAACAAACGCGTCTTCGTCTAATCCTCAAAGTACGATGGTATTA